TAAAAACAAACAATTAGAAACAACTCAGGCCTAAAAGTTCGGAGTACACCAGTGAAATGTGCTAAAACTCACTTTTATTACTTTGATCCTCAGAGAAACAAACAAATAATGACAACAAGCATCTCGACAGAAGTCTGCAAAGTTCAATTTCTGCAATGAAGTATAATTTGTGCATTTTGCTCTATGTGTGTTCGTTCTTTCTCGGGAAACGTCTCCTTAAACGAGTTGACGTTAGCAATTATACAGCGCAGTGTTTCGAGAAAGAGTGAACAGTGAACAGTGAATGCGAATTAACTTGCTTTGATCTCACTGCTGCTTGAATCTGAGCGTGCAAATCATTGGGAATAGAAGCCAACAAGGTACTGAAGAGCAGGTATAGGCCCAATGTTATGACCAGAACTCGGAAAAACAAAGCAGGTTAACTTAACTATATGCCTACATTTCTGCGATTAACCACTCCTTTTCAAACCAGCCGTCTACATAATCAAGGATGAAACCGTGACGGCAGCTGTTTTGTCTTTTAAAGACTGTCAATAATGCGAATAAAACACTTCGTTTGTCGAATACAGCGGATTTCTACCAGCAGTTTCAGCATCCAAAAACATACATGGCGATCCCTTCATCGACTGAGTGACAGAAAATCCATTCCAAAACGTAGAAAAATAATGATCGGCGATTGGTTTACTCGCTGTCAGCTTACCTGTAAAATTCACAAGTAGCAAGAAACACACAATAGGAATGGAAAAAAACGGTTGAAGTTATGCAAAAATGCGTTCCACGACGGTTTTTTGCCCAGCAAGGCAAAAAAGTTTATCATTCCAGCAGTTTTTGATATTTTCTAACTGTTTTGGACCATAAGGATGTCTCAATTACAAAAGAAAAATAACAAAAATAAAGAAAACGTTTGAAAATCCGGCACTAAAACAAAGCAATGTCATGAACCTGCCGGCATCTCGACATGGTCCGACCACGACGAGATGCCGGCAGGTTGCACTCCTCAATATGCACGCTATTTTCCTTTCTTTGCTGACATGAGGGCGAGATGCCGGCAGGTTGAGGGCGAGATCGCGGCAGAAATCTCGACAAAATACCTCACGAAGTTGCCGGCAGGTCAATCTTTTGGGTCCAAAATTTGGAGTTGTCGGGATTTTTCGGATTTTTTTCGATCTCCATCTGGTGCCCACCTCTAAGCTGGACCGTCAGTCCTGGAGAGTGCCAGACTGATTGCTTTGGGGAACTTATAGAGGGTGCTGACAGTTTTCATGACCTGTGGGCGAGATCGCGGCGAGTTGAGGGCAAGACCTGCCGGCAGGTAGGGTAGATTACTACTGGCCAAGGTCACATAGTGACATAAGAGGCAAGAGATCGGCCGTTATTGTCACGCGTTCATTTTTATTGTTCATTCCCGTATTTCCGGCGTGTATCCACGCGGCCTCTAGTAACTTTCGTGCCGAAATTCCAACTTCATGCTCCAAAATTGTACACTTCACATAAAAATCACTCTCATCGTGTGCCTCGATTTTATGTTCTTGTTATCAACATAAATGTTGTTACCTAGGTAAAACCTATCTCTAGATAATGCATTCCATGATTTTCAAACCTTTGCTAGTGTTCATGCTCTACCAAAAAGTTGACAGTTCCACACGTAAATCGCAGCTCATATTCACAGCATGTAGTTTCTGATGAAAATGATTGTTATGCGGGACTTTGCGCAGTCTAGAGGAGATCCACATTTATGAACTTGTTGCCTTGTGTTGTAATGACTCTTAAAATCTCTCGCTATAAATGCTACGCAAGTGAGCTGCGATTTGTGCGCCTTTGCCTGAATCTGCAAGCCAGTCATCAGCATGCTCTCAGCAGCATAGCATGGTGCCGTATAAGATTTACGGAAGGTGGACCTCTGCTTCTTGTGAGCTGTCATGGCAGAGGGGACAAAAACACCTAGAGCGGTCAGCCAAGTTGCTTCAGAGAGAACGTCAACAGTAAAATAAGTTCTAAGAAGTTATCTTTGCATACGCTTTTTCTATGCTGATACTTTTCTCTAAGGGTCGCAATATCCCCGCCGGGAAAGGGATCGCAGCAAACAAAGCTTCGTATCCTGAAGCTAAAGATATCCGGGTTTCAAGCCGTTTGACCTAACCGTAGGTATTCCCATCCTTCACTATGGCAATATGGAAGAGGGGCAAGAAGCTGTACTAGCCACACTTTCCTGGTTTTTGTATGATCCCCTGATGCATGACGTACCCAGGATTTCGGCTCGTGGGGGGGGGGGGGGGCAACAGAAATTTTTTTCTAATGATCCGAAAAAATTTTTGGTATGTTTTCTAAAATTTTCACGGGGTCATAACCCCGAAATTTCAAAAAGGGGGCGTGGCGTCAGTTTAAAAATCTTTAAAAATATTTGTTATTTACAAGTACGATCAAGTCATTTGCACAATTTTGATGATGATCCCCGGTGGCAGACCGTCTTTTTTCAAAGTCAGTTTTCTTCCTTCGGAGGTAACAAAAACCTCCGAAGTTGCACCGATTATCTAGCTCAATAGTGCTAACATGTTGCTTGTGAACAAATGATTTTTTGAAATATCGAATTTTTCGATATACTCAACTTACTACTTGTGGTTCATCGCAATTTCTATGATTCAAAAACATCATTTGTTCTTACAAACACATGTTTAGCACCGTTAAGTTAGATGATCGGTGCAACTTTGAAATGTTTTCGTTAACTTCGAAGAAGGAAAACTGGCTTTGAAGAAAAGAGGGTCGGGGATTATCAGGGGATTATACAAAAAGCTGGAATATGCGGCTTGTACAGCTTCTCACTTCTGTATGCTCATAGTGAAGTGGTGGGAATAACTACGGATAGGAAGACAGCGTAAAATCAGTGGCCGTATTCATCAACGAACCCAATGGATTTCGCAACCAAGTGGGTTCGCGATTTTGTAATTATGCGAACCCACAGGCTAGAATCGATATTCATTATAAGCACTGATATGTTCGCTAACCCATTAGCTTCGTGAATACCGGTTTCGTGGGTTAAACCTACTCAGTGGGTTCCGGAATTCGCTGGGTTCGTTGATGAATACGGCCACAGATATCTGGAACTTCAGAATATGAAGTTTTCTTTTAAACTGCGATCCTTTCTCCGGCGGAATACTAATGTCTGCCGCCTTAAGATCATTTTGAGCACTTTTTCTGACATTGCCTAGTTTTTCTCACTTTTTCAAAGAACCAATCAGTCTCATTTACCTCGTATTCGTCTTTTGTTAGCGTGAAAAATCAAAAAATGCACTGCACAAAGAGATGGGCCCGTCAGGTGACGAAGGGCAAGAAGAATCCAATCTCGCGACGTGGGGCGCTGCTGTCTGTCTGGGTTGGGCGCCCGCGAGTTTTATACATTACGGGTCGGGCGCCTCTCCCCCCCCCCCTGGTCTCTCGATTTTCATTAGAATTATATTGCCCAATTTTAAAACGGGATTGATACATACCGCCACTGGTCTCTCGCTCATCATCGGAAAGAATTCCAGCTCATTCACAAAATGGGAAGGAAACGGTACGGATTTTCAGCCACAAAGTGGGTGTCTTGTGCACGGATAGCGAATGCGACGGTACCGATAAGTAGGCATTTTGACCCTGCCCATATACCGTGAACATAAGATCTTCGAAAGCTGAGATCTCTGAGAATTGAAATAGTGTTACAGAAATTATTCTAGAGCAGTGATATATGGCGCATCCCCTCTCAGCCCCATTCTTTCCCCAATGAGGATTTGCGTGCATACGGGCGAAAGTGAATCAGTCACATTCTTTGTTAGAAATTGTTAACTTGCAGATCTCTTAAATATATCGTTGTGCATTTTCCCCTATTGTATCTCATGATCTTGGCACAGTCTAAGTCAAAACCTTCCAACCTGTAACTAGATGGCGTAGTAATTCAGCTCTGAGCACTTGAAGAAGAAAACAAGATAGGAAGATTACAGCGTTAAGAAGTTTTGCAGAGTAAGCCTTTTCAACCGTATGTTATAAGCAGAAGGACACTACTGGGGAAAATTTGTTTGTACGAAACACCGTAAGCGTTCATTGTACCTTTTGAAGCTCACATTCTTCCTCCTGGCGAAGTTCCACATTTCGGAACAATACTCCATATGCAGACGAACAAGTGTCTTATTATAATACTTCAAAAAACACGCTACCACTCGATATCGTGACTTATAATAACGGGCTAAGGATGTTTACGTGACTTTGTGTGTGTGTGTGTGTGTCTGTTACGAAATTCGTGGAGCGTGTTCCAGCCAGCGTTCTAAGCCCATATTTTGCATGGCGCATGCTTCCTTCATGAAAGTCCAACATGCAAAAGCACGAGTAGATTTGTTGAGTGGATCCCTCAGAAACTGCGCGCCAAACGGGTCCACCTGGCTTCTGTACCGCAAAATTCGGTCCGTATCACCACTTTTTGCAGAGTCGTGGACGAGTTTGGTAAGCAAATGTGCAAGCGATGGAGTTTAGCCAGAAAAGTGGTCGAAAGTTTACACATAACGAAAACGGCGCCAAAACGAATTGGTTGTGTAAAGGTCAATTTGCCAAGGTTCTAGCTAGGCGTTTGAGAACATTTTCGCACAGAGATGTAGCTCACGGTTATCATTACCTTTATGGCGATTACCAAGTCATGACAAATCCAAAAACCTATTCAAATTTGCGTTTGTCTTTCTGCGAAAAGTTTCATCCACGCAAAGTCACCAATCTCACGTGAAAAGACTTTCTAAATGAGTGCTGTTTACATTTTATTCGTGGTAGTCGGCATAGCGCGGTGTCCAGTGCCACGATTTTACGAGAAGAGTAAGGCACATAGATAGTAGAGCCAGTGCGAACCTCTGCGAAGCAGAGGTGAAGCACTGGTTCATAGATACCATGAAAATTGTGGAAAACCGGTCAAGCTTCAGATCTCTGATAAGATGACTAGATCATCCGGGGAAAGGAAGTGTTCATTTTTTATTATCATTCACATCATGCGATTGTTTCTTGTGTACACTTCATCAATGCTATACGTATGTTTCTCATACTCTGCTAACTGAGGATTTGGCTGATGCAAACCTTGAAAAGCTCACCAAGTCGCAGGAGATTAGCTCTGGTTTTTCCCCCACTAAACCATTCTGATTCTGACATCATGACCATGCGTGGAAGTTCTTTCACGCAAAGCTGTAAGGTGTGAATGTAAATTCATTCAACTCGCTGGCATATAGCGGAGCGTTCACATGGGTTTAGGTTTATACGCTGCTGCATGACGAAGGCGTAATATCTTTGGGCGCGAACGCGCCTTTATTGCCGCAGAGCGCATGAGGCGAGGGATTCACAACGGTGAATATAGGCGCGTGCGCGTTCTCCCGCTCGACTAATACCGCTTCTGCGCCTTCGTCATGCAGCAGCCTTTACAGGGTAAGTGGTTATAGTTTACTAGTAGTAGTAGTTTATCAAAATCCTTAAGGGGAACGCGCCAGTTTCTCAACGAGTAACTGTCCTTGCTCCGCGTTTGCGCCAGCTCAAATAAAGTTACTCTGGGCCATCGTCCGGCAGTAGACTCCAAGTGTACTAAAATACCAGAAAAATTTACATACTTACAAGCACAAGCTGTAATTTGTGAGGACGGGGGATAAACATTTTACCTCATAAGCGTGACACGATAATCATCGCGAACTTTGTGTCCACGCACGTCTTTATGAGGTGCCGCGCACCTTTGCGCGATGCTGTATCAACGTGTTAGGTTGTAACGTGAGTCTTGAGACACTCTAACTTCTTACGGCGTTAAATCATGTGGTTCACATTTTCAATAAGGGTCCAGGAGAACATTTGATAGAGCAAGGCAAGCTCTACAAGAAGGTCTGCAAAAGTTCGCCCCAACTTCGACCCGCTTTAAGTTTGCATCGAAAATGTGAGTCGCATAAAAGGCTCAGAAAGTCGCAAAGTCATATCTCTGTTCAAAAGATCCTACGAATCTCCAATCAGCTCTCAAAAATTGTACAATCTAGAAATGAAAAAAGGAAAATTTTTATTTTTATATAAAAACAAAGCTATGCTGTTTCCACTCATGTAATTGTACACTACAACCCCTTAGGAGTAATGTTCAGTTTATCACAGGCCCTAGTTCTCAAAAATCACCGATTTAGCTCTTCTTATTCGGGTGTTCCATGCTAAAATCAATATTTTTCGAAAACTAGGGCTTGTGGAAAGCTGAAAATTTAATTTATACTTTTGAGAGATCGTTGCACAATTACATGAGTGGAAACAGCATAGCTTCGTTTTTGTATATACATAAAAATTTTCGTTTTCTCATTTCTAAATGAAGAAAAAAGTAGGAATGGTACATTTGAGTTTCTGATGTAGTGTGCAATTTTTGTGAGCAAGTTGGAGATTCGTAGCATTTTTGAACAGAGATATGAATTTTTCGCTAAATCGGTGATTTTTGAGAACTAGGGCCTGTGATAAACTGAACATTACTCCTAAGGGGTTGTAGTGTACAATTACATGAGTGGAAACAGCATAGCTTTGTTTTTATATAAAAATGAAGATTTTCCTTTTTTCATTTGTGAGCTGATTGGAGATTCGTAGGTTCTTTTGAACAGAGATATGACTTTGCGACTTTCTGAGCCTTCAGTACGACTCCGCTTTAGATGCAGATTTAAAGTGGGTCAAAGTTTGGGCAAACTTTTGTAGACTATCTTGTAGGGTTTGCTTTGTTTTATCAAATAGTGCCCTGGACCTTATCAAAAATATGAACTGCATAATTTAAAGCAGTTAGTAGTTAGAGTGTCTCATGACTTATTCTACAACCTAATAGAATGTATTTGAGAAACAACGTTGTGCTTGTACCTTTTGAAAAACAAGGAAAGATTAAAAGCAAATTGCTTGTCTCAATTGTTTCCCTCTTTTCTCGCATAGGGATTATCCTAAAAGTTCGGACAAAATCGGGTATAGCGACTTCTCAATTTGAACTGATCTTCTGCGGGACTTTACCGCGGTTGTCTTATATGAGTTTCCACAACTGCTCAGACAATAATTTGGAGCAGCGCAGTACTGTAGCGAGTAACCAATCATGGCTCTTCAAAAGGTTGCGCCGCGCTTGCTTACGGACGAAGCAAGCGGAATACCTTTTATAGTCATGAATCGATTCGCCCTCCCGTTAGAGAACGCAGTAGATGCTCTGTTTTTAGCACTGCTGCTTTAGGACTGTATGGATTCTACACCTTACTGCCAATGCGATAATTGCGCTTATTCTGTTACAAATAGGGATTTTTGGTGGTCGAGTTCTCAACCAGGACCCGGCACAGAGTGCATGCGAGTATTCATCTCCAATTTGGATTTCACTCTTATCTCACGTTTTTTTTCTTTTAGACTATCAAATCTTTCTTGTTTTTCCCTTCTTCTAAGTAGGTAGGTCTAAGGGGAATTCGTAAAACTTCCGAAAGTCAAGGGAGACTTCGTTTAGAAACCCTAGAAAGCGACTCGCGCCGGACCCTGTTCTCAACTAAAGGTAAATAGAACTCAAAAGAACTGATGATAGCTCATTACAAAACCGATAATTTCAAAAACGAAAATTGAGACCTTACATGCAACTGACAACTTAAAGGGAAGAATCCTTAGTCAAAGTTGCATTTTCAGTTGAGATGCTATTCTTGGAGAGCATCGTACGCTGATTTCAAATGTGTCCTCTTATCTGCTGAGCGCCTCTGGTTGACGAATTATGACCATTTAATGAGTCAAAAACTAAACGCTTGATCATAAAAAAAACAATGATGGCAGCCTTTCCTGCACATGAAGTAACGTCAAGCACGGGAATTTCAAGCAGAAAATTCTTTTTATGGAGAGGTTTAACGGTCACGTGTATTCCATTTTAGCTCACAAGTGACTTCTATAAACGATTTTCTTCTAACTACGCGTCCAAATTTATACTACAGAAACTCTCATAACTCCTTGCCCAGAGGCGTTTCGCAGATAGGAACACAGATTCGTAATCAGCGTTCGACTTCCATCAAGAAAGTATGCATCTCTTCTCAAAAGGCCACTCCTGCTAAGGATCCTTCCCTGTGTGACACAAAATATAATGGCATGCTTACCGCTATAAATTGAAACAAGAAAGTAATAAGCGAGGACACAACAAAATCACCATGAATTTGGTGGTATAAAAAGTTGCAAGAACTTACAAAATGCAGTGTTTATATGTAAAACACAGATAAGTGTGAAAAGATAATATTGAACAGCCTCTTCTGCTGTTTTTTTCCAAATAACTATTTTCAAAATCTTCTCATCCTTTTTTCCAATTTTCAGAGAAGCTTTGTTAGCTGGTGCCGCACGCTTGATCTGCTGCTAGAACGCTTAATTCAATCACTGGGTAGTATGCAGGTGATACTCTCACATTGCTACGAATCCAATTTTCCGTTTCTAACTGGTAAGAGGGCACATCCTCAATATTGAAGATCTTATACGTAGAATGCTGATTTTTTACAGCGTACATGCTACTTCTAGGCTCTTATAGACCTACTGACGTCAGCCTTTTTCCAAAGAATATGCGGGATGTTCCCTCTTTTCTTCTTCAGTCTCTCCCAAAATTTTTGTAGAACCTTCAAAGAATTGTAAAATTTCTTGTGAGCTGTGCTATGGTATGGCCAATATTGGTTTGACTAACGTTTCGGCGTCCACGCCGTCTTCAAGACCTCAATTCAAAAGTTTACATGAGCTCTACTCGCACGTGTCCTTGCTAACAGGGTCGCACATCTGTTGCGGGAGACAAATAAATGCTGGAGCAATGCTCACTTTAATGCATGGAAGTCGACCGTGACCGCTCAAACTCAGAACGTGCCCAAAATGGTAAACCGTTGCTTCCTGAGCTGTTTGTTCCACTATCAAACTTCTATAAACTTCTATAACTTCCACTATCTTCTTCTATAAGCTTATAAGGCTTGATAAGGTGACAATTCGATGACTACAGTTTAAAGTATTGTTTGACAATCTTCTATATATAAAAATGGGAACTCAGACCTCCCCCTCCGGGGAAGCACTTTTGCTGCACGGTTTCCTCCTTCAATAAGGGTACTGCGAAGCAGTCAGGCAGCAAAATTCGGAGCCGTGCGTCGCTCCAGGTTTGTCTGCTATTCTCCTACTGCCATAAAAGCCTCACACCTCCACTTAAAAGACCTTTTTATACCTCGTATGGCTAAAGTGTTCGCATTTCGTTTCTTCTCCCAGCTTCGCTCGGTGGCATTAGCATCTTTAGTGAGGACCACTTTTTGTGAGTTCCACTTTAAACCCATTTTTTGTTCCTTTTTCGAAAGAATTTCAAAATTTTAACAGCATTTTCATCTGAGAGCATGTCTTCTTTGTACCGCATTATAAAGTCTGCTACTGCCGTTGAAGGCGCAGGATCTAAAAGCGCAAACATGTCTTTACTTATGCGGCGCATGTGGCGCTTTAGTCATAAATTGTAGCTGCCAGCGAGATCACTCACCTAAGACTGCTTCTAAATATATGGTCGGGTCGTTGATCGCACGGTCCGCAACATCTGAGCAGTCATTGCGGTCAACAATCGACGTAGCTTGCCTGTGTAGCGCTCCGACCTCATTTCGCTGGACATAGCGCAGCGGGCACCCATCGTTCCCGAAACTCACTCACTCGTATCGCTCCTTTGGAGGCTCTCAAGCGGTGCCAACCGATGGTGAGCCTGGTCTTCGTAAAATTAGAATATTGGAATGATGTTGCCAATTTTCCATATCTTCTATATACTAGCGGCCCAGTGACTACTTTGTGTAAAACCACGTAAATGCGAACCACTGAGCCATCTAAATTAAGATGAAAATAGTGCAAGAAGTGTACAAGTCAGAAAAGCCATGTTTATTATCAAAGCAATAACACAAAAAATTGACGCCAAATGTAGGACTTCAAAAATAGAAGTCTTGTGAAATATGAATGTGCATGCCTTGACGAAATCCGTGATTGCGAGGTAAGTTAAAATTGAGCAGTGGACGGCTCATTGTAGACATTTCTCACGGAATATGTCTCTGGCGTGGTTGGTATGGTTGGTACTGCATTCTCTTCCTTTTAAAACTACGGGAAACTCCTTTGAGGAAGTGTGTATTACGTGTAATAAATAGCTGTTGCAGTCCTGTCGTGTGGCAGACCTAGCGGTTCCTCGCACTCTTCTCTTTGAGAATTGCGCCGCTTTCGGAAGCATTCACTGGACATTCTGCCACGCCGATCTGATGCATTTGTTTAAACCGGAAAGTTCTCAAAAGAATTTTTGAAGGCGGTGCAAGGCAGAGGAAAACAACGAAGACTCGAGCCACTGGAGCAACCTGATCTCAGTTTGCTCGTAACTTCTCTACCTCTGCATCGACAGAACTAAGCTTCTTTTCAAAGGTAGATCTTTTGCGAGCTCTCGCGGCTATGTGAAAAATCACCCTTCTGTGCGAAGCAAGTTTACTCACTTGTTTGTTGCTGGGTGGCCACCACCAACTTGAGTGACTGCACTCAATAGGTAAAAATACCAAATGAGAATGCCTTGCACATAAAAATGATGCAGAGATAAGATAAAAAGATCAGCACTTACGTGTCAAACGTGCTGCTCGCCCGCAGGATAATGATGACTGTCTAGTCGAATGTCCGCCGCTCGCAAGCTCAGTAGCGAAGGCACGCCGTCATCCGCAACAAAACCATGTCCACAAATTGAAGCTCGCCGCGCGCGCGTAGAAAGCCATGAATAGCTCAGAACTCACTCTCACCACTTTGATAATAACTCAGAAGAACTGCCGCTCTTCTGAGCTATTATCTAAGTGGTGAGAGAATGAGACTTTATTGTTGTCAACCCTGCCATTCAACAGCAGTAATAGTGTAAACAGCGGCAGCAACTCTAAAAGTAGTAGTAGCAGTTATAACGCTGAAGAACAGGTAACAGTCACATCAGTAACATTGGTAACAAGGGTAACAGCAGTAACAGCAGTGATGCATGACCGAAGCTCAAGCCACACAAAAACTGCCATTGTTAGAACTTTGATTGTCCCATATGAATTGAATTGACGAGAGACATGAAGCGCTTTTTTTATATGTATCGTCCCCTCCACAGCTGCTGCTGCCTCTGCTCTGCATCCCTGACCTATGGCACGCGTGGCTAAACATGTTGTCAACATGCAATAATATGTTGGCGTTGAAGCTAGAGCGGCTAATACTTTTCAAATACCAGCATGTTGTTGCTCATTATAAACATGTTGTTGCATGTTGCTAGAGGATAGCCATGCGTGCCTCATGTCAGAGACGCTAGGCTCACATATCAAGAACTCGAGTCAGCGCAGAGTAAATCTTGACTCTAAATCTCCTTTTTCCTATTTGTTCGCCCTGACGCTCATTGCTTGAATCCAAACGCCCTAAAAGCTTCTTGACTCCCTCTTGTATGATTAGACGTCAATGTTGTAGTCTTCATAATGTGGCAAACGCAGAGTACGCCCATCAGCCTGCGCCTCGCCTCAAAGTCTGGTCCAACCTTTTGCACAGACTTTAAAAAGAATGCGAAAATCAAACTCTCCCTATCCTCTTTAATGAATTATGGATAATAGCTCTGATATAATGATTTTAGTTAATTGTATTATGTCTGCCATGTTGCCACCCTCTACGCTTATTTGACCCAAGTTTCGGAGAACAAATGCATCATCACTTCCTCACACCAAAGGAATTCAAGGACGGAAGCAAAAATGTGAATCTGTGTAAATTATCGTTCAAAATTTTGATATTTCTTTGTTTAGGGCACAAATACATATTTTCTTAAGCTATGCGAAGCTCGCGATCTACCCGAAGATTTCCCATTGTTTCTCTGTCCTTTGATGTTTCTTTTGAGTGCATACAACGATAAAGGATACGAAAAGGTTGGGATATTGTACTCACCAAGTCTTGTTTTTCCAAAGTAAAGTTTTAACCTTTCAAAATCTAGCTTTACAATGACACGGCATCAGCTATAACTGCAATAAAAGATCCTAAGGTAAGTCACGTGAAATATTAGTAAGTTTGGAGCCTCGGCCTTCTTCCGTGCTCCGGAAATGGGCACCGTACAATGTTAATCGTGATCAAAAAGCCAAGAACCCAAATTGAATGGCATCCAACTTCTTAATCTAGCGCTCGGAAAATAACAGGAAATTCAGATCTGCAGAAAAAGCACTTGACGAAGGTACTTATAAGCCACCTGATCTCTAACCTTGCAATTTGTATGATTCTTGAAAAGTTTCGGCCATTACACGAATTGAAGAAAAGTCTATGATAAAATTCATGGTTATAGTTCTCTTCGTAAACATGAAACCAACGATATGTGAAATTAAGGTATTGCAAATACAGCGTATACCTCGCAATAGGAGTGGTAAGGAAGGGAGGAGAGGGGAGGACGTATTTGAGGCGCACAGCTATTTACTTTGGCTCACTTTGCCCTCGGTCATGCTAATGTCCGCGGAGCGCGGCAAGCTCCTCGGACTTGGATTCTTTTTTGCATCTCAACCATAGTTTATAGATTCTTTTGACTCAACTATAGTGGATTCTTTTTTGCATCTCAACCATAGTTTATAGATTCTTTTGACTCAACTATAGTTCATCTTCTCCTTTCTTCCAGTGATAGGCTGTTTATTGTTTATTCATAGACATCTCGTTTTCTTCAAACAAAGCTTAACTAAGACTGATATGGACACTGATACCTGCATCGCGGATGCTGTGAAGAAGTTTATCGCTGCAAAGTCATCTCGAATGTAGATGTAAGAAGCATACAAACTACGATGTACCCTTTGATTCAAAGGAATTAACGGCTGGAAGGAGGGGTTTAAAGGCCTGATCAAGCCTAGAGAATAATAAGAGAGTCGTCACGAGCGCAAGCGGTCGCCTTTCAGCCGCAAATCCCGTTGTGTCAAAGAGTTGGTGGCGAATAACGAAATCAACTACATTAATGAAGTAACAAGAAGAAATTAGTTGTAAGCAACTTTTGAATGTAACACGTGGTAATAATGATACTTTGAAGAGTTTACTCTAAGACTCGCTTACATTTTCTCTAGTTTGAAACTATATTAAACTAAACTGACTAACTATAATCGTTTTGAAATTTAGTGTCCAAGCTAAACTCGCTAGAAGCACCATATTCAAAACCTGAGTTCAGCATAGCAAAAACGTAGCCGGAGATTAGTATCCATCAATCCAGCCTAACAGCAGCCTCAATATCTTGAATAAAATTCGGCGTTCATTTGACCAATAGCTGATGTGCTGCTAGATACCGCGATTCGCAGCCATCATTGCAGGTACAGTCTGCCCCAATCCTAACCAGGCCAAAATCGGCATGGCGGGAATCCTCGCCGCGAGGGTTTCGCGCCACATCTGCGGCTAGGTAGCCTGCTCTCTCCTCGATCTCTTCACTTTCTGCGACAGCGCGCGAATGCAGCGCAATCCCCTAGCGCTGCGTGCGCGCAAATTCAGCCGACGTTTCGGCCTGATCCCGATTGGGGCAGACTGTAGTATGCACAATGCGTAGAGTCTGATTCGCTAAGCACTGAAAAAACTGGAAACGCCACGGCGTAACCGTGTTTTTGCTCTGCAGAAAGTGTATACACAATATTTTAGCCAAAATGACTATGCTTATGCACCATTCTCCGACCAGTTTCAAGTCTGAAGGCTTGGCAGGCCAGAACAAATACAGCGGCAAGAAAGCGTCGGTTCAAGAAAGCATGACAGTTTCAAGGAGACAAACTTACAAAAAACAGTTGTGCAGCGCAAATTATGCAAAAATAACTATTTACAACTATTTCGTCGTAGTTGGGTTGAGAACATAACGCCAACTGACAATTTTGACAGTCCTGTTTGCAAATAGTAGACAAAAGTCGAGAAATGCTACAAAGGATGATCTTTTATGACAGTGAGAAAAAGCAGAAGATGAACTATAGTTGAGATACATAAAGCTATAAACTATAGTTGAGATGCAAAAAGAATCCCAAAAAGAATCAAGTCCGAGGAGCTTGCCGCGCTCCGCGGACATAAGCATGACCGAACGCGACGTGAGCCAAAGTAAGTAGCTGTGCGCCTCGAATACGTCAGGGGGGAGTGGTGAAGAAGAAAGAGTATAACGCTGCAAAATAAATACCATTGGTATTTATTTTGCAGCGTTGGTATATTTTGAATTGAAATGATGTAGGCAGATGAAATCTGAACAACGATAACATTTTCCTTGCTCAACCTCGTCCTGTAAAGCCGTGATTAATTCAAACTGCACCTTTTGTCTCTGCATTTGCTTTGGGTTGTTCCATAATTTCGTAGCTTTATATAAAACAAGAAGCAAATTTCATCAATTACCGATCAACAACTTATTCAAGAGTAAATTGACACACACTATAGAGATATTACTATATCTTCAAATCACAACTTGCACGATAGTTGCCGTATGGGCTCATGTTTGTCATGCAGAAAATTCACATGATACATCTGGGCTTTTCTGCATTGTAACCTCGTTTAGACGGCAAAGACAAGTTGCGTACAATTTGTAGTCGACCATATTGCTTGCCCGGTTTTCCGTATGAAATGCATTGTTAGTCCCAGCTACCATTCTCTTTTCAAAAACTTTCTGTTTGAAGACAGTCGCTCGGCAACTCTTCGACACAAAAATTTAGCTTAACTGAAGTTCTCCATTGTGTTGTTCCAAATATCCACTCTAAAGAGCGCTAAAATAGTGCAGCGAGCATTCTGCAAGGCCCTTCGTTTAAACTTCAAAGGAGTAGAACAATTTCCGGCAAGGCTGGAGAAGCAAAATCTTTGCGGATTCTTTGATTGTAACATTCTGGCATGCAGCCCCCAACGCTGAGAGGGAAATTGCAAACTATTTCGAGCGCGCACAAAACTGACTTGCGCACAGGACTCGAGGACAATTTTCTTAGCAGCTTTTCCAAGCTGTGCGACAGGACTTGCTCTGCTTTTACGTTTAAGAAATAGGCGATCTATCAAACAAATTACCGAAATGTGGGAATATTTCGTTGGAATATACGTAACCTCTGAGAACACGAGGCGAGAGGCATAAGAAGGCGGCTCGCCAGCGCGCCGAGCGTGACACTCAGATCAAAAAACCGCTGTGGACAGCTTTCAATGTCGATAAGTTCATCATAAAAACGTGAATGTCTTTTCCCAACGGCGCACGCAACTGGTCGCAAATCAACCGCTATTTGCAGAAGAGAGGATAAGGAAACGTTTTAACGAACTTATGAAATCACCGGTGCATCACTCCTGCTTCGCAGAGGCTCGCACTAGTTCTACTGAATGCTCTACTGATTCTCGCATAATTATGACACAACTCAGCACGCAATGCTGACTATCAAAAATAAAATACTCAATTTGAATGCTTACTCATGTAAAATCGGTGATTTTGCGTCAATGAAACTTTTTGCAGAAGAACAAACGCATTTGAACATCTCCCATTTTTTGATAGTTGCCTAAGAACAATATTCGCCGTGTGTGCTACATCTTTGTGCGAAATTCTTATCAAATGCTCGGGTAAAACCTTAGCAAATTGACCATTTACTCAACTTATTCTTTTTGGCGCCGTTTTTGTAAAGTAGTAAACTTTTGATCACTTTTTGGGCCTAAATCCATGGCTTGCACATTTACTTGCCAAAACACATCCACTCCGCAGAAAGTGGAAATGCGCACTCAATTTTGCGGCTTAGAAACCAAGAGGATCTATTTGACGCGCAGTTCTCAGGGATCCGGCGAATCTGTAGTACTTTTGCATGTTGGAACTTCATGCTGGTAGCATGCGCTGTGAAGATTTGAGCTCAGGACTTTGGATGGAACATGCTTTGCGAATTTCGTAACACACACACTCACAACACACATAAAGTCACGTTATTATAAGTAATGATTAATTGATGATAAAGCGCTAACATCTGTCTTTTTGTGCGTGTGTCTGTATGTCTGTCTGTTACGAAAATCATGGTGCGATTTGCAGCCAAATTCTCGTGCCAAAATTTCACACAACATACTGTGCCAGCTGTAGGCTCACCACACGCAAAGAGGAGGGGAAAACGGCTCAATAACTGGCATCAAACGGGTTCACTCGGATGTTGGTTCGGGAAACTGGGTCGGTATATGGACTTTTTGTAATACCATAAATTTGCTTGACAGGGAGATCTGCACCCTATACTACATTTAGCACAGAAACAAACCAAGAAAGTTTTTTCAACATCAAAAAGAAATGATTGCGTAGACCATCAATTTGTCAACGTTTTACCTAGGAAATTGATAAAACTTTTGCTCAGGAATGTATCCCACCATAATAATTGTACGTATTGTACTTTAGAGCCAAAATAATCTTAGTTACTGATCAAAATAAGCAATTGTTCTTCTCCAAAAAAGACCCTTTCTCCCAAAGTTATCAGTCTTACATGAAAAGCTTTGAAAATGGTGTTTGTTTACAACTTATTTGTAATTGTCACATCTCAAGGTAAGTTTCCAAGCTATTGGAAAGACGAGAAAGCCAAGGAGGTAGCAGGATCAATGTGAACCTCTGCAAGGCAGAGGTTACGCACTGTGTAACCTTATTCCCTTTTAAGCCGATCGCGCGTTATAAGTTTCAAAAATTTATTTAAAAAAATTTATTTAACTCTATAGATCTATCAATACCGTCCGCATGAGCCCATGCAAAACTCAACTCAAACGCTTTGAAAAAAGTGCTTTAATTATTGAAATAGGCTGCCAAATATGTTGTCAGATTCCTGGCATAATATGGCAACATTACAGAATCATCCATGCGCAAAAGAAGACAAGTCTTGCGTCATTGTATTTCTTCCTTTCGATCGTATTCTTTTCGGCTGCTCTAAAATTGATGTGAGTTACTATCAAGATGTTCAAGAGCATGATAAAAGAAGTAACTATTTGAATACTTGCGTTTTCGTTTTTTCACATATAGATGGTTCACAAGAGTTCACAGGTTTGGTGAAGTGTAGCAACCCAAAATTGACCACAATACACTTAAGCATCTTTCTTACAGAGGAGGTGTCAGAAGTCGCAGTCGCCTTTTGAAATAAGATAGCTATCATTTAAAGCAGCTTGAATCGCTGAAAACAGTCTTTCTTAGTTGCAGAACAGACCTGAATCGGGAGTTACTGAATCCAGTTTGCAGAAAATTCTGAATGTAGAGGGTAGTCAAAACTACCAACCCTTTGTATTTTGGGCTCAAACCTATACGAAACGCTTGTCAGTGCCTAATATGATTCTACTCCTTTTTTAATGTTATGCTGTAGTGCCTAACAAGCATTTGAACGATTTCTACGATCACAGAGTACCTCTAAACAATGTAAAATTTGATGGAATTGCGCATAACTCCCGATCCAGACTCGTTCTGCAGATAAGGAAGGCAGTTTTGGAGTCAGCGTTTTAAGCCGCTTCAGATGCTATCTATCACATGTAAAAAAGCCACTGCGACTTCTGACACTTCCCTTCTTAAATTTGCCAGGTACTTAAGACTTAAGAAGGAAGACCTGCGTTCCTTAACCCAGCTCTTTCACTCTTTTCCTTTTGCCTCAACCCCTTTGCAAAGAAAAAGTTGGTGCACATAAAATAATACAGATGGTATGCGCAAGATTCATGTACCACAGTATCTCTGTGGTCACTTTGCCTGCGACTCAGGCCCGTAGTAAACCTCCGTCATCTTAGGTCAGCACGAGGCCCAGGTTGACGTTACGGCGCTTCGCGCGCTAAGGGAACCATTGATTTAGAGCGGAATGCTTCAACTGCCGTGTCTTGTAAACCACTCAAAGCAACTCTCAGGAATTTTCCTCTAATCCACCTTACACACTATCTATGGCAGTTGACCTTCAGGTCCATTTTTAACCTGAAACAGCGCAGCAAAGTCGGCTGATCAACTGCCAGTTCAAACTGCCTTCTAAAGCATAGAAGGATGGAGGCCGTCATTTCGACATCTCAATGTGAGACTAGAGCTTCAGGAAAGATTTTGATCTGACGGGGGTTCACTACGGGTCTCAACGAAGAAAGTCTTCACAAGTCATCTACTCAACAAAATGTATTGCTTGATTGACTCTTTTTAGAAGATTCCGAAGAATTGGAGGCTGGGCGACTTTCGATATATTTATGTTGGTAAGGCCAGGGCTTACAGAAATGTCATATCTTCGTGTGACCTTATTGCAGTTCAACATAATTTCTCAGAAGCAGAACCTTGCATTTACGACGAGCATGGGAAGGAAGTCTGCACACTAGATACAACATTTGTAAACACTACCATATTGATAGAAGAACACAAATGTTGTTGTAGATCTGGTTACTGTGCTGTGATGCTTTACGATCAGGTACCGTAGGATCAGAAAGGTAGAAGAGATACCGTAGTTTTTAGGGAAATCTAGTTCTGCCTTTGTTGAAGACCGTAGTTGATCTTGAAGAAGTGGTTCCACATCATGAAAGCAAAATTGTCTTCAAAAACCTCAAGTTGAATGTCAAAGGCAAGAAGGATGAGAACAAAATAACTCTGAAAAAGAAGAAAACTGACAAATTCACGACAAAAGCCTTGGGATCGCCAAAAAAGCGTAGCAAGAGAAGGCCTTCTCCGTGTTGCGGTAATTTTCGCTAATTTTCTCAAGGCAAGATTACGGTATTTTCTAATTTTGTTCTCAACAGGAGATCCACCAAGGAATCTTGATGTGCTCTTTGTAATGCCAGTTTTTGTCATTCTTTTCTGTGTTTTTTGTGCCGCAGGAATTTCGAACATGTGTGGTGATCAAACGATAGATGAACTGCATGCGTCTGGTATAGACGTCATTCGGTCCGAGGTAAAGTAATCACTACATTAACTTAACTTCCGTTGGTTGAAGACCAGATGGCATTATATTTTGCTGTTTCTTTTTCTTTTGTGTTACACCATTTAGTATGTAAATGAAATAAAGTAAAGTAAAGTAAAGTGCAGTATAGAATTCTGCTAAAATACGATCATTGCAGGAAGGAAGAGTCAGAGAAACACCCCGTTCTCATGCGTATTGAAACTACTACATTGTTATTACTGCGTTTTCTTCTTAGCTTCATTTAAATGTGTTGTATGATATTTTGGGTAATAAAATTTTTTTGAGAGAAATGTGGTGGTTTGATTTGCGCGTAAGCGAGCATGGCTCCAATGTATAAATCATCACCCTCGAGTTTTGCAAAATACAAGAGTCAAGTGACCTCACTTTCATGGAGATTTTGCTGCGATGGAACAAAAATATAGCCAATCTAGAAGCCATTTGATGGCCGATTTTATCAAATGTATACCATTTTGACAGCGAAATGTTTACTGCACTAACTCTTAATATAGTGCGCAGACAGCAGTAAAGACATTTGTTGTGACTATTTTTGGGGAAGGCGTGAGAAAGAATTAACCTAGATTTATACAGGGTGTCCCAAAAAAATGTGAACACTGTTTGATCGTTAATAACTCCTTTGCTTTCACGTCTTTCGCCGAGCTTTAAGCGCCATTCTACAGGGCAAGGTTCAACTTAGATCTATAGTATGGCGCGAATCATTGATAGTTTTTCATTACTGTAGGATTACGGTAGGAACTTCGACAAGGGTTTTACACCATTGGAGGCCATTTTATGCCTCGGAACAAAACCAAACAAGCCCAAAACTCTTGAACTATGGTAATGGAAGCCGCAAATTTCGAATATGAATTTGCCGCTTTACTGTGATGCTTCTTTCCAAGTTTAGCCCAGGTGAACCGTAGTAGCTGAATTTTTAGCATTTGTCAGAAGTGTGATTACACCGTCAAAAAAGCAAAAAACACTCTTAAAAAGTTGTGCAGTGGATTCAGCGTGAGCGAAAACCCCAGTGCACGACTTTTCAGAAATTTTGAAGAAAATTTTGTCAAGTGGCATATTTCACAATGGATCCACATGTTAGAAGTTCATACCGTAATCCTACATTAACGAAGAGCGGTCAGTAATTCGCTCCATACTACAAATTCAAGTTGAACCTCGCTCTACAGAATGATGCCTCAAGCTCGGCGAAAGACCTAAAAGCAATGGAGTTATTAACGATCAAACAGTGTTCACATTTTTTGGGACACCCTGTATTTCAATAATAATTCTGAAGTCCAATTTGTCACGGTAGAAAAGCCAAATCGGAAAGATGGTATTTTGACTTTACTGTCTTTTTTTCAAGTAACTTCGGAAACATTCCTGACAGTACTATCCGCCGTTAAGTATGTGTCCTGCCAGACAACATGACCTTCGGATGAGTCGAATGACATATAGATTTTCTATCAATTCTCGATGTACTAGTCAAGCCTCAAGTTTGCAGCCAATCGATTAAAGCGTTTTTGTGGTACAACCTGGAGAAAGGCGTGTTTCCCTAGTGTAAGTATAGAGTCCAACACTACTTCTATGAAATGTTGCGGTTGTTTTCAAAATGCACATATTTGATTGCCAGCCCATCCATATATTCAGATTATATACTGTGTAACTTTCACAATTTTGGTGGGCGTGGAGTGGCCAACCCTGCAAATTTTGCACGGCTAAGATGAAGTATTGAGGTTCTTTTTCCCTAGTGATTCATTGGCAACCCAAACGACGTCGAAAATGCTTTATCCCACAAATTCAGCTTGCTGCCTGTGACAAACCCTGGAGTGAGAGGAGAACAGACAATCTTTCATTCTACCCATAGGTAGCAAACCATAGACGTGACGCAGTGCCATGCGCAGCGCACAAGCCAGTTTTGATCTGTCTGGATTGGGACACACTGTAGTGCATTCATTTGCGCGTAAAGCCTATGAAAGTAATTATAAAAGTTATCAAGATTTTTACGCGAATATTACTATCATTTAGATGCCATATTAAAGGGATTTGTTCTGATTATATATCTCTCAAAATTCTCTTTCCAGATGCGCCGAGGTGATTTATCACATCGTAAATTTGCCAGCTGAAAGTAGAGAAAGCTGTAAATATTCGTCGTGAATTAATGTTTACTTCAGCTGACAAACTCATGTGCGTTTACTTTTGACAAGGATTGACGAGCAACAGCCGAAGTAATGTCCCTCAGATGCGAGCGTTTACGTCAGAACAGCAGCGGTTATGCGATTCTCTCACGGTGCTTAGGGAAGGGGCGAAACAATTTGGGGAAGACTCTCTTCCGGCCAGAAATCAGTCATGTACTATCATTTCCTGTTAATCTAAGGTGTTTAACCACAAAACAAACAAAACAGTGGCACTCTTGACTGCGGTGATCCCTGAAGTGCATTTCCACGCATTGCGCCTGGCAACACCGCCAATGTTGATCGTTCCGGTTTGCGTTCGAATATGATCGAAATGCTTTGTGTTTGCATCCGGCGCTGTTTGTGTGCCATTTCCTATCGGTTTCAAAGCCTATCGCTTCTCTACCGCTTATTTCCAATTTTTCGTGAATTCGAAATTGGCTAGTTAGCGCTTGATATCACCTACACAGAAAACACGCAAAGCAGACTTTTCGCCCTTGGAAATCTCACTATAGTATTTTTGCTTGGAATGCCACAAAATTTCCTTGAATCTTCTAATTTTGTCTTTCTGAATGAGAGCAATAATGAAAGAGTGATAGGGAATAAGGAATTATTTTCCAAAGTGCATACAGATGCGAATTTTCTAAAAAACAACTTTAATTTTTTAGCCAAATGATGAAAGAACTTTGAAAAATTTCAAAGAAATTTTTGAAGTCAATATTTACTCACAAAACTTACAGAACTCTCGTAGATTTTTTAGTAAATTCTGCTTTTTAATTCTATGTTTTCTCGTACTCCCTCAAAACCCTTGAGAAAAAATATTTCGAAATTCAAAAGGCTTTGTCTGGGTTCCTTGAAAATTTCAATATCTCTTTTTAGCATAGTATCGACTGCTCCTCGAGCTGGGTGTAAATGCTCGAAGAAATTAAAAGTAGTATACATATAAAACTTCTTTTCTGTTAAAATGATTTCATTTTTTTTTATGCCCGATTATAAAATTTTACAAAACTCTTCAGTATTGCTAACAATGACCTAATTTTAGTTTGTACTACTACAATTCATGTAAATAAAAACCCCTTTCAATAGATAATCATCGTTGATTTCTAAGAAGGAGCGGATTTCATTGAAGAAAAGTGCAACAAAAAAAGCTCACTTATAAGTGTTGGTAATGAAAATTACTGCTAGTGTTTGCAAAAATCAACCAAATCCTAAACTAAATCAATAAAATTTATCGATCATTGTCTACAAGATTTTGTTTACGTGCGATAATAACTAATCCAATTTTTGTTCAGTTATATCGGATATGACAACTCCAGCTGCCTAATTTTTGAAAATAAATTTACTTTTTCGGAAATCTCCTTCCTTCTTCAAATGCGCCGTTTGCGAGATTGCAACCCCCACTCTTGGCTCCGGGAACCAACACATAAATCCAAACATCGCCATGAATGTTTCGGCCTATAAATTTCGATTTTATTCTAATGCGATTGTCGTTTTATTGTTTACGGCCATGCATATCACATGCTGCTATCGATCAGCAGCATTTTTATCATTTGTTACTTGGCGACACCCGAGCGAGTCAACAACACAACTCACGGCATGCACCCCATATCACTCACTGCATCGAAGTTTTACCGGGTAGATTGTTATCAGCAAACATACATAGATAGCATTGAGAATTCTTTTCGTTAACGCTCCTGAGAATTCTCGAATGTTTCCCCAGTCTTCCCTCTGTACTCTCTTTTGAATATTTTCTATTTGAAATATTTGTGTTGGAATATAAGGGTCATAGATTTTGTATCCTCTGTTCCCTGCCTAATTCTGTTTTGGAAAACTGAATAGTCAGATTTTTTCTCATTTATCCGTTCTTATCTAGCTACTGGATTGCTAATAGAGTGATTAAGAGAGAACTAAGGAACTGAAGATCAACTCCAAGGCGCAGCGCTTACGAGCAGAGGACAACATAAATGAAATCTTCTTGGATTTCACTGAAAAGGAAAAAGGTGCCGGATGTCCTACGGCATAACTCACGAGAAATGCTAGCATTACTCGTGCACCAATGAATTTAGTTTTCTCCTTTTTACTTCTCAAAACAAAACTAGGGTTTCGTGGTTTCTCTAAGCCCAACTTTTGCGCGTCGTTCAAAGGCATTCCTGCTCATAAGCGTCTATACATAGTATTTGGAAACTAATAGAAGGCCTTAGGTAAGATTGCCTATGCCACTTCTCACTCGGCTCATTATACTATTCAGAAAATGGGATCCATGATTCCAGCTCAGACCGTAGTCTTTCCGGACGAATCAATCTGTTTTTTTACGGTGATACTGACGTTAATCCCCATGATTTTGCAAATCTTTCCTTTACAACCTTTTGGGTCACGTCATCAATTCTGTTGTTAGCGTGGAATTCAGAAATTGTGACCTCGAGTCATCTGTAATTTATTAGGTTGTAAAGAAAGTTCTGTCAATAGAGGTTAAGCTATATTGTTTTAACAATATTTTCATCACGGGTGGCTGTCGATCAACGATATTTTGGTCATGTGCCACTGATAACCTTAGAATACTAGTTAAGTATATCATGAATGCTCTTTCACAAGAAGGGCGCGGCTGCGTTTCGAAACAGGTGGAGATTCGATTTTTTGAACCCTGAAATGAACGAGCTATTTTTTCTTGAAAGAAAAAGGATCAAATAACGGAGTAAGTTATAGTCGGATATTGCTTTATCTAATCAATTCAAGGGGTATAAAACGGACTTACAAAGCGAGCCTCTCATATTCTGCGCGTCTATAACCTAAAAAATGTGCCTTTTCGCAGACCGATGTTTCTTCTTGCTTTATTGGTAATTCTGGTAATTATGAGTGGAATCTGCAGAACTTTCTTTACAACCTAATAATTTGTGAGATAGAACACTATGCCCATCTATCGACAACGTCTTTGTTATGTAGTAACGCCGAGGGCATTTCTATAAAGCCCACAAAATGCAAAGTTTTTTGCTAGCTGACATATATCCGTCAAAAACAAAAGAGTCAAGAAAACATGGAGAAATCACTGAAAATGAGCAAGTCGTAACTCAGTTCGTCAGGTAGCGTGCATGGTGTGCAATGAGCATATCAAGTTCCGAATGGCTCGACGT